CAGTCACCAGACAATGGCCTTATAACCTTATGCGAGCTCAAACGCCTTTAAAATGAAAGCTACATGACTTTCCAAATCATTTTTTTGACACTGAATTAACGAAAGAATCACTTTATGAATGAAGGGCTTGCAAAACTTTGTCCTCAGTCAATATTTTTCACCTTCAGTACAGAAGATGTCCTCAATCCACCATCCTTCACACACATATCTGGTTTGCACATTCACAACAACAGATTGGTTTATTGCCATTGTGTGTGAACAGACAGCAGGTCAGCCTGATCGGCAAACACATCTCCTACATAATGCTTTGCTCATGTCAAACCAGTGATGTGCTCTTAAACCCCCTACCCAAGTGCTGGTTTTGATAGGCTGATATGCTTTAAAATCAGACATGGAGTTTAAATGGCGAAGGTATTTAAGCAATTAAAACCACAGCGAATGACTATTGCAAACCCTTAACTTACCAAAAATGAGTTTGATCTTTTAATAAACTACTCAGTCTTTTCATACTGTGTATAAGGTGCAGCATAAAAGGTTGCATTGTTACTTTTAAAGCCTTTTGTTTTAATCATGTCATCTTAAATGTGGGTCGTCAATGGTTCTTCATATGAGATCAATTAATGTTTCTATCATTGCGACAGCACAATACATTATTGTTTGATAAAAGTTCTGCTTCGACACAAGAAAACCCGTCAAATCATGCTTGCCTGTCACTTATTCTTGTTCATCATTATTCAGAGTGATTGAAAATCATAAATGCATGCTTTTGTTTTCACAACAGCCAACATACATGTACATATAAACATGTACGGTGAAGATTATGGATAGATGCTCTTGAAAAATCTTTTCGCTGACCTGCAAATGACAAAACCGTCTTATGATATATGGTAAATTTAGATTTCTCCTTAAGATTAAAAGAAAAATGGCCACTTTTGTACTTACTTTCTAGTATACAGTTGAAGTCAGAATTATAAACCCTCCTGTTTATTTTGTCCCCAATTTCTGTTTAATGGAGAGAAGATTTTTTCAACACATTTCTAAACGTAATAGTTTTAATAACTCATTTCTAACAACTGATTTATTTTATCTTTGCCACGATGACAGTAGATATATTTATATCATAATATTTGACTAGATATATTTCAAGATGCTTCTATACAGCTTAAAGTGACATTCAAAGGCCTAAGTAGGTTATTTAACTAGGCAGGTTAGGGTAATTAGGCAAGTTATTGTTTAAGGATGGTTTGTTCTGTAGACTATCGAAAAAATATATAGCTTAAAGGGGCAGATAATTTTTGACCTTAAAATATTTCTAAAAAATAAAAAAACTGCTTTTATTCTAGCTGAAAAAACAAAAACAAAAGACTTTCTCCAGAAGAAAAAATATTATCAGACATACTATGAAAATTTCCTTTCTCTGTTAAACATCATTTGGGAGATATTTAAAAAAGAAAAAAATTCAAAGGGGGGCTAATAATTCTGACTTAAACTGTATGTTGTTTTTAGATTAATTATAATAATTAGTCATAAAAATAGTAGCAGAATTCATTCATTTTCCTTTGGCTTAGTCTCTTATTTATCAGAGGTCGCCACAGTGGAATAAACTGCCAACTATTTCAGCATTTGCTTTACGCAGTGGGTGCCCTTCCAGCTGCAACCCAGTACTGGGAAAAGTAACAGAGTTGTTTTTATCATTAATATTACAATGCCCCAAAAATCCAACATTAATAGTGATAAAACATTCCTTTATCGAAAACATTATGATTCTTTTTTTCTTTTTACATCTAGCCAATGATTTCTTTTAAATTTTAGATTGATTATCAGCAGATTTGGGGAAAATAATTGAAAATATTTTAAAGAAAAAGTTGCAAAATGACACACACACACAAATCTGGGTGGTTTTAATCCATATTTGAAAAAAATATGGACAGATCAATTTTGGATATATTTAGTGTTGAAATGTAACCCAACAGTTGGGTTTCTCCATATTTGACCCAAATTTGGTTTGAAACATACCATTTTTTTAAGTGTACAAGAAAATGTTGGATAGTAATGGTTTTAAAGTAAACATAACATGACAGAACATAATATTTAAAAAAAAAAATTTTTTACCAAAAAATTAATTATCTTTGTGCATTTCAATCTCATGACTTTATTGTTGAAACTTAATGACTAAAAAGGCAATTTATTCCAATCAACTCAAAATATCAACCAATTTGAGTAAAAGTAACAACTAAACTTGTACTGTTACAATTGATTTATTTTTCAACATGCCTTTTCACTGCTATTGTAATTAGCATTAATTACAATATTACTAATTATTGTAGAGAAACCTATGAAATGGCTTGTAGTTTGTGGTATTCGATGATGACAAATGTATGGATGTGTGTCTGATCCATGAGGGTTGTACAATCTGTGCACTGTATGTCCAACTGAAGCAGACTCTCTGCGTCATGTCATCCAGACAGCACCTCCCAGCATGGAATGAGATGGAATGATGGGACGGGCGTGAATGTGAGTATTTACCTGAGTTTAAACAGAGAGTGATGCACCTGAAGCGAGGCCGCAGGCGGACACTGTGCAACAAAGTGTGAAAACAAAAACCTTATTCTGTGTTTTCCCAACACAATCTCATGCCAATTCACAATTATTTCCAATTTGCAGTTTACTAGTGGCTAATTCATGCAATCTTATTCATACAACCTGCTTGAGGGGAGTAATGGGCCGATCAGAAAATTCTTTGGACTAAACATTTTGCATGTCTTTAACTACACCAACATCTAAACATACCGCCTAAAATCAACTTCTAGTTCACAAGTATTAAAACATTTGTTCACCTCAAATTTGTTAAAATACTGTTCCAAATTCCCCTGAGACCTTAGTTTTTCTTTGAACACAAATGAAGATATTTTAGATGAAATCTGAGAGCTCCTCCATAGGTCTTGAGTCATTCAAAGTCCAGAAAAAGAATCAAAACATTATAAAAGCATTCCATTTGACTTCAGTGGGTCATCTGTTATCATACAAAGCCATATATTTGTAAATACATCGTTGTTCGCCTGTAACATTTCTCCCATGTCAGGCCATCAGAGTGTGTGTTTACTAGAACAGTATGACTAAAGAGTCAACAGTGAAATTGCCTGTAGTAAACATGCAGAAATACGGTTGCAGAAAACATTAGTTAACAAAGCTTTTTTTAAGTTTTTGTTTTGTCACACAAAAGTGCTCTTGGAGTTTCATATGATAGTTTTGGTTTCTGGACATTAAACATCTTGGCAAGGTTGCGGTCTACAGAGTATGAGGGAGCTCTCAGATTTCATCAAAGAAAAAAAAATTATCCTAATTTGTGTTTCAAAGATAAAGAAAAGGCTAAAGGGATTGAAACGACATGACGGTAGGAGTGCAACAAGATGGTTTACTCCACAAGACTAGACACGAGATTGAGACAAGATTTTTGTACTATTTTTGGGAATTCTCAATCATGAAATATATACGAATGAAAAAGTCTTTTATTTAACAGGAAAAAAAAAAATCACAAAATGCAAAAACAAAAAAACAAAAAAACATTTAACTTGTATTAAATGTTATTTTACTTCTATTTGAATGAATTCTATGCAGTAAATGTCATGCAAATACTGCAGAATGTTTTTCTATAAACTCTACTGATGGACAAACTCTGAGCTACTGGATGCGAGTATGGACTGATAGGACAGAGCTGTTTAAATCTCGCTCCATCATAACATCACAACTCACGAGACAACTTTTCACCTTGACCAGAAATCTCGTCGCCATCTTGTCTCGCGAGATCTCATAGTTCGAGATCTTGTCGCACCCCTACATGAAGGTGAGCAATTAATAACACGATTTTTATATTTGGTTGAACTTTAAATAGTTCTCAGAAAATAATAAACACTTCTTACAAACTAAAATCTCATAATTATGGTGATTGCGACCGGGCAAAAATGCTTCTATTAAGCATAATCTGATTTACTATCGTCATGAAAGCTGCACAATATTTTAAACCAAGAAGCAATAACCAAGTAAGTAAATATAGCTTAACTTGTATCTCTGTTCATATGTGTGTACTTGTGGTATTTCCAATTTGATTTTATGATTATCTTGTTCTGAATTTATTTCTGACTGTTTAATAATAATGTTTTGTATTATGTTATATCAGTGAGGCTAGTTTTTGTTTATGTTTTCAACAGAACTCTGAATAGAGTTTGAGTTTGTGAAATTCGGTAGTACGGCGTTGTGAAAAGGGGCGGGATTAAACTATATAATTAGACATTTAAAAAAGCAAGAGATTGGTCTATATTTTAAATTTCTGTCCAGAGAGGTCATGTTTTGATTCTCAATTGGTCTTACGCAGTCAAGTGATGCGATTTCGCAAGTCAGAGTTCACCAAGTTTTACCTTTGCAATGTATGAATGGAAGTCTATGGGGAGAAAAGTCCAGTGTGACCGCAGCTCAAATCTGCTGACCATGTGATGGCTATGTTTGGGGGCGGGGTTAGGAGGTGGGGTTTTCTGTAACATTTTTAGAATACAACATAAATGCCCGCCTCTAATGAGATAATGATACAAATTCATGCAAATTACCCACTAATCGCCAAAATGTAAATTGATCACATTTTCCTATGATATCTTGTTGGTTTTTCCAACACACTTGCACAACAATTCATGAATTTTTATTTTAATGGTTAATCCGTAAGAATCTCATTCGTACATTTCACTACTATTTGCTCACCCCCTGATGATGGCTGGCTTTAGGGGCACACATGCTTTTAAATATTCTCCCATTTTAGTTCAAACCAAATGGTATGAATTTGAATGAATTAGCCACTTTTCTGACAATACGTAAAATAGCTACGTTTCTTCATGAGATCAGGCTGGTTTTTCTCATTCTGTGATATCCCCAAAAGGTAGAACACCTGGATAGTCGACAACCCGTGGAGTTCATCGCATTCCCCATAATGTACATAACACAGCAATACACGGTTTAAAATTCAAACAAGCTTTTTTTCTTTATATATAGATTTTCTCGTATATAGATATATTGATAGAGAGAGAGCTTATTCATACTGTGGATGTTGAAAGAGAACACGACACATAATTTAATGTTAAACATACGATCAAATGCATGCCCTGACGCTATTAAGACCTTCCTGAAAGCTTCAGTCGTCTTTCTCCTCAGAAATCGGCGGGTGGATTCGAAGGCGACGCCTTGCTCTGCGCTGTCTGATTATAGTGCTCATACAAAAGCCACTTTGCTTAAATTTTAAGCACACACTAAAGCAAAGCTGCGTTGAAAACAGCTGTGCGAATGCTCGGAATCAATGCGGAATCAAATTCTGGATGGAAAAGTCCCTGCAAACGCATCCATAACTGGATATAGGACACTAAAAAAAAAAAAAAACGAAAGCGTAACGGGAATATCTGGAATGTGACTGAACTAATCAATAGGCAAATTTAATAAATAAGATTTCCGTATGAGACTCTCACTCATTTATCAAGATAACAGTGATGCCATTAGGATTTTTTTTTTTTGATTTGCATATTCTAAGGTCCTTTTCCCAAAATGCTTCCTTCCGTCCTGCTAAATGCCATTCCAGTCCAGATACGAAAGTGCGGCGTTGCCACATACTCAAACCCTTCATCTGCATTTACATTTTCGATTCTCATTCGGGCCACAGTTGCTATGCCATGCAGATAGTAAAGAGAGAGAGAGAGAGAGAGAGAGAGAAAGAGAGAGAAGAGGGGGTTTGGAGAGGAAACAGAGTGGCGGGACGCGACGGAGACCGGCTCTGTGCGCGTGTTTAGCTGACTTCAAAGTTCTGCGGCTGTGAGCCGGATTCTGATGGCGCCTCCTGCTGTTGGGATGGTGACTCCGGCGGGTCATCTGTGCTCGTGCTGGTGGAGACCTGAGTGGGCATATGGTGGTGCAGGGCGCTAGGGCCGGCCTGTGTGGGCTCTCTTTCCTCGTCCTCCTGCTGGGAACTGGAGTGTTGGAGCATGGATCCCGGGAGCTTGACGGGGCAGAATGCAGAGCCGGTGGGGATGAAGTTGACTTTGTTTTTGTCAGGGCAGGAGAAAAGTGGGACGGTGGTTGACTGTCTGGACCTGAGAATAAGAGGAAACTGATTTAAGCTAATGTTCCAAGTGGAAAAATGATGCACATACTATAGTCTCAGCATTAAAGGTGCATTAAGAAATAATTAAATATTCGCCTACAGTGTCGAAAAAAAAGGCAAAACTCACATGCAGCCAATCAGCAGTGATGGTGTGTCTATTAACTATTGTGGCTTTTCATTTACATTTAGTCATTTAGCAGACGCTTTTGTCCAAAGCGACTTACAATTGAAAAGGCATTCAGCAATTCAGCGAACAAGAAGAGGCAAACTATGCAAGAAATGCTAGTTATCAGAGATTGAAAGTAACAAAGTACAAATACTTCATTACTGTACTTAAGTAGATTTTTCTGGTTTCACTATTTATTTTTGACTTTTCACTTAAACTCAATTTTTATTTTTATAAATATCTATACTTTTTACTCTTTACATTTTTATACTGGTCTAGTTACTTTAGTTTTAATGTATTGTGTGGCGCAATCTATATTATTTCTTGTCATTGCGAGATTTGAATGCCTTTTTGATTCAGTCAATCTTGTCATTGCGCGCCTGTGTGCTGCAATGCTCGGCTTTTTCAACCTCTGATCGAGCACCGTAGGCTTGTTTAGCTTACCATGGGAACGACTAATGTGGAACTCATATGAAAAAAGATGATGCAAACATTTATTAACAGCATTAATAACTGTTAAATAATTATTTGTTAAATAAAATATAAACATGTTATGTGCTGTTTAAAGAAAATTAAGCAGCTTTAGTTTTAGCAAACAGACATTTATAGTCAAATACATTCAGTTTTTATTTTATCAAATGTAAATATATATAAATTGAAGACATTTATTAGTTTTAAAAACAGTACTGTATATAGGCAGAAGAATTACATTTTAGAATATATGAATGAGTATGGCAGTTGTTGTTTTTAACAGCTGTAAAGTTTAGTTTTTTGTCCAGGGGATGAAACAGAGCAACTTTTTGAGCAGTGTTGTTGCACAATATTTTAGTGATGTTGCTTGGCTGTTGTGCTGCAAAAAAAAAAAAAAAAAAAAAAAAAAAAAAAAAAAAAAAAAAAAATCGGAAACAACATTTTTACAAAAAAAAAAAAAAAAAATTATATATATATATATATATATATATATATATATATATATATATATATATATATATATATATAAAAATGTAAGTTATTTTGTATAGATGTATACGTGTTGTGTGTGTAGTTACCCCAATGAAACAAAAACAGGTTTTAGTAATGAATACTTTTTACTTAAGTACTGTACATATTTCAGGCAGTACATCCTTACCTTTACTTAAGTACAAAAGTGTAGTCAGTACTTCAACTTTTACCAGAGTAGTTTTAAACATGAGTATCTGTCTTTCTACTTGAGTAAAGCATGTGTGTACTCTCTGCAAAGTTATGCAAAGTCACTTGTTTGTGCTCAGAGAATGTAGTGCTAGAGTATGAGTGCAAAGGTCTTTGTACACTGAAGTATAAAATTTTTGTATGCGTTTTTTTACAGTCATATGCAAAAATGTGTCACATAAACAAACCTTGCACACAGAGTGGAAAGTATATTAATTAATCTATTACGAAAAATGCTAAACATTTTGGAGTGAGTTTAAGCAGTGATTTTTTTGTTCTTCTCTCTTCTCCAAAGAAGAAAAAGGAAAGGCTGCATATTGTGTAATATGTACTGTGCATATAGAAGGAGAGTTCATTTCAATATCAAACAGCTGCACTATGATTATCCCAAAATGCAAAGTTTATGTCAGGAGATCAGTGGAATTTTAATTAATTGCTTGTGATACTTCACACATTCACATACTGTACATCAACAAATCCTGAACAGAGACTGGCAGTACCTATAGACATTATAATAGATGGCAGCCACCTTGATGTGTAGAAGCAATGGAATGAAAGTGGACCATGCATTCTATTATAATGTCTAGGCAGTATCTAGGCAGTATGTCAAATGTATGAAAACACTCTAAGCAGCAGCAGGGCAGAGCTGCGCAAGTCACTAAATTCAGTCATAAGTTCCCCTTCGGGGGGAACTCCAGCACTATAAGTGGATTTGATTGTAAAATCCACGCATTGGGAGGTTCGGTTCAGAAGCTACTCGTCTGAAAGAGTATTGAACGGGCCAATTAAGAATGAATTGGCAGCGCAAGCCTGCGCAGGTGAGCGGCATAAGCAATCAACTGAGTATATAAGCTCACCTGGCGCCAGCAGACGCTATCCTTTTCGCTTCAGAGCCTTTTCTGATCGAGCTTATGAGGGTTCCTCCTGCTGATCTACAGCCATTTCGAGAGAACGATTTCATCCCGGTCCAGAGCGAGTCCACGCAGCGGCAGACGGTCGAGCTGGGTATCTCCCTTGCCTGGCGTCCCTTTGGGTCCGGTCCTAAAAGAGCAACACAGTCGTGCAGCACGTCCTTTTCAGGATGGCGCTTCGACTGTGCGTTTCTGGTTGCGGGGGTTTCCTGGCTCCGGATGATGGACACGATCACTGCATTACATGTTTGGGGGTCCAGCATGTTAATGTGGTGCTCGGGGGCGGTTCATGTCGTCACTGCGATGCCATGACCGTTGCGCAGTTGAGATCGCGGTTAGCTTTCGTAAGAGAGCGAGCCACCCCAGTTGCCTCCTGCTCTGCAGCGGGCGCTCGGGCAGATCTGAGGGCTTCAGCGAGAGACAATCCGCCGCCCACGGGCTCGCGGACCTCTCGCTCCTCCAAGCGCTCCATCCAAGCTTCGGGTACTGAGAGTGATCTGTCTAATCAGATGGTAGCTCTCACGCTCGCTGACACCGGAGATCAGATGTCCTCCGCGGCATCGGAGGACGGGCTTTCATTGTCCGACGATGATCCGGACCCGCTCGCCCCCTCTGGGCAAGCGAGCGCCGTCAAAACGGATCCTGAAGCGGACATGTTGGCCGTGCTTTCTCGGGCTGCTTCGGCCGTCGGGTTGGAGATGGTTTATCCCCCAGCCCCGCGGCCGGACTGACTAGATGGGTGTTACGTAGAGGATCAGAAGGCGAAGCCTTCGAAGCCTCTCGTCCCCTTCTTCCCGGAAGTGCACAGTAGGCTCACGCAGTCCTGGAGGGCACCTTTCTCTGCCCGCGCTGCGTCCGCCTCCGCCCTCACCACCCTGGATGGTGGAGCTGCCAGGGGGTATGAGGCGATCCCGCAGGTGGAGCGCGCCATTGCGGTCAATCTTTGTCCGCGTGGAGCCCCTGCTTTGCGTGGTCCGCCCCGTCTCCCGTCCAAAGCCAGTAAGTTTTCTGCCTCCCTCGGAGCTAGAGCTTACAAGGCTGCGGGCCAGGCAGCTTCCGCCTTGCATGCGATGGCCACCTACCAGCGCTACCAAGCGCAGGCGCTGGCTGAGCTGCACGAGGGTGGGTCTAACCCAGGCTTGTTACACGAGCTGCGTACCGACTATGCTCTCCGGACCACTAAGTCCGCCGCCTGCGCACTGGGGAGGACGATGTCCACACTTGTGGTCCAGGAACGCCACCTCTGGCTAAACCTGGCAGATATGCGCGATGTCGACAAAGTTCGCTTTCTTGACGCGCCCATATCCCAGGCTGGCCTGTTCGGCGACACCGTCGGTGAATTCACCCAGGAGTTCAAGGCGGTGAGCGAGCAGTCGGATGCGATGGGCAAAGTCATCTATCGGCGGGGCCGTAAGCCCGCTCCATCCCCGGCCGAGCCACCTCCGCTGTTCCTCGCCGAGGGCGCCCGCCAACGGCCGATGCCCCGCCCCCGCCTCCGGCGAAGCGAGCGCGTTGAGCACGCCGAAAGCCGGTAGCCCCTCCTGCCCAGGGCGCCGCTAAGTCCGGTAAACGGACCGCGAAGCGTCCCTGAGACAGGCCATCCGGAAAAGAGGAGACTTGCTCTTTCCCCGCTGGAGGACGGGGCCCAAAATCCAACGGTACTTTTCAGTGCCACCAAAGTTTCGATCAAAGAGCATTTTCTCCCTTCCCCGGATGTGACAGCTCAAGCCCCGCCAGTCTGGGACGCGCTGCCTCTCAGCTCGCAGGGCTTGCATGCTCTGCCAGCGGCTCTCGGGTGCTGGGGGGACGGTCTCCCTTCTCCCAGCCCCCAAGCCCCCTCTCAGGAGTCAGGGTGCGGAGCCAGAGCGAAACGCTCTCCTCCAGCTCTTCTGTGGGACCCTCGCGCTCCCCAGATCAGCACACCTGATCCTCGCTGCCCCTCCGCGGGTACGTCAACGATTGCTGCGATGACGTCATTAGCGAGGGCTCTGCCTGCCTGGTTAGCGCGGGCCAGCCCCTCGCGGTGGCTCATATGCACGATCAGACTCGGCTACGAACTACAGTTCTCCAAACGGCCTCCCAGGTTTACGGGCGTGTATTTCACCAGGGTCAATCCCCTGTCCGCCCCTGTCTTGCGAGAGGAGATTGCTGCCCTCCTGGCGAAGGGTGCAATCCAGCCGAGATGGAGAGCGGGTTTTACAGCCCGTACTTCATCGTACCCAAAAAGAGCGGTGGGTCATGGCCAATCCTAGATCTGCGCATTTTGAATCGCTGCCTTCACAAGCTGTCGTTCAGAATGCTTACGCAGAGGCGCATCCTCCGATGCGTTCGTCCTCAGGATTGGTTTGCAGCCATAGACCTGAAGGACGCGTATTTTCATGTCTCCAATCTTCCACGCCACCGTCAGTTTCTGCGGTTTGTGTTCGAAGGTCGAGCATGGCAGTACAAGGTCCTCCCCTTCGGGCTCTCTCTGTCTCCGCCGGTCTTCACCAAACTCACGGAGGGTGCCCTAGCGCCTCTGCGGCTTGCGGGCATCCGCGTACTCAATTATCTCGACGACTGGCTGATTTTAGCCCACTCTCGGGAGCAATTGACTGCGCACAGAGACGAGGTGCTCCGGCATCTCTGCCTATTGGGGTTGCAGGTCAACTGGGAAAAGAGCAAACTCGCCCCGGTGCAGAGGATCTCTTTTCTCGGGATGGAGCTAAACTCGGTCACCATGGT